CTATTCAATGTCAAATAATACAGAAAAATTGAAGTTCAGGTGACTGGTTCCAGTGATAAAATCTTTGAAGCAAATGCTATTCGGAATAACAACGAAATCTTTGCAATTAAATTATGTAGCTCAGAAAATTTGACAATTCTAAAATTATGAGTTGTGGCACTTCAGAGAGGAGTCTTGTTTGAGTCCTATCAGAAGAATAAACCAGAAAATAATAATAATAATCAAATTAGATGATGAATTAGTTTCTCCTGTAGCCTTAAATGTGGTGAAAATTTCGCACTCTTAATTTCAATCAAATATAGATATATAGCGAGAGAGAGATTTAGCTTTTCTCATGTAATGTAAATGAATATAGAATAAGTGTAGATATGTATTATAAACCATGTAAATAAATAAACCTAATCGATGCTCGATAGTGTTGTATACGTTAATACGGAGAAACAATCAAACATTCTCAAATCGGATGTAGTGAAGTGACAAAGAGTTCTCGTCATCAACTGATATAATTTTTGAGAAACTTTAGAAATCTAAGAGTATCTAACACCTAATTAGTCCTATTTTGTAATTCTTCAGCAGTGGACACTCACAAATGAAAACTGGACTGACCGCACAACTTTCGAATCTCGAGAGCACCTCTTGAATTTCAGTCGGTTCATCACAATAACAAGGTTATGATGTATTTGTTTATTGATCTGTTCTATAGTACCCAAGAAATTAAGTTCTAATTGACATGAACTCGTTTGACGTATATTAATATATCTAACAATGAAAATGGATGGTTTTTGATAAGATGTAAAGCAATTTAAATAGAAGGTTTCTAGAAGAAGCTTTCAATATCAATAAGTATACTGAAGATTACTGTGGTTACTAAACTAATGACTCTCGATGAATAAACACTGTATCTGACAAATTTCATGTTATTTAATAAATATTGAAATGTAAATACATATATTAGTTCTTATAAAGTTTATAGTAATTTCAAAGCTCGTTTCCATCTTATTGACAGTAAAGAAACTTCTCCGATAAAATAAACCTAACTGAATCTGGATTCGTTTATTTTTGAATTCTTTATAAATCCATCAATAGTTTTAAAGACGATTTTTCATCGTCTTTTCTTTATAACAGATTCAGTGAAAAGTTAACTAAATGAAGTTATACTATCATGATATATGAAACATGAACACAGAAATAATGATTTATTTTAAGATATCATGATATCCGGAAGTATTTGAATTATGGTATGAACTAGGAATCCCAGCAATAACGTAATCAGATCAAGAATTATTAGATAACCACAAACGAATGTACTGTATTTAGAATTCGAAATCAAGCATTCAACATGTACAAAGGTATCATTAATTCATTCAAACACCACAGATATGTAAGCCAACAAGACACATTATTATTTAGTGAAGATAAGGTGATTTGTCACTAGTCTTAATTCGTATACAATAAATAAGAACAGGAATGCACTGCTTTATTTTTTGTAGAAAAACAAATTGTGCAAGTAGGAGTTGGGACTTACTATGTTTTTACTTGCACACTACCTTATCTCTATTTTACGATGGGGAATAGTGAATTGTTTTTATGCACTATTAACATCCCATGTTTAATACATCAACGTATTTCTTTTACAAGGCTTCTTATATAGTAAACGATATATATGACACCAATTCGACGACACTGTAGTGTAAAGATAAGCTTAATACAACTGTGGTGAATTTTCAGTCAGTTTTTGATCAATCAGAAAAACGCTTGATAAATAGGTAACATATAGAAAAGAGGACAACAATGTGACAAAGTGTAGATAGGTTTCTAATAGTTAATAAATCTGTTATAGTTTTCTGCAGGTTACTCTATCTATAAACTGAAGTAACAATAACATAAACTCTTCCTCATAGATGTAATAAACAATTAAATCGATTTTTAACAGTCCTCACACTGTTCCTAATTACGGTTGGTTATTTAGTGTAGAGATAAGGGATGTAGAACTAGGCTGTGCATCACGAACTGACAATAGCTACAATGTATAAATTCTCTGTAAATAAATGGATGGACGAATTTCGTACAGAAAAAGGTGAAAAGTGTTGTCTGATTAGTCCTTCCAAATAATCTAGTTCCAATAGGTATTTAAGGTTAGTGTAGATTTGTCAGTTTATATATAACATACAGTGAAGAAATTAAACGCCATCATTTCACATCATGCTGTTCTCAACAGTATACAGAGGTCATTTCTACTGTTAGTTATCCTCTATATTTTATTTAGAATTCTATTTCTTGATTCACAATTCATCATAATTAAAGAAAAACGATCGTCATACTGAATATGATACTAAACTCAGTTTTCTATTGACTTAACATTGAAACTTCACTAGCAGTTATAATTAGAGATCAGTCACATTGTCAATGTGATAAAAATCTTGAAAAAAACATGAAAGTTTATGAAATGATGCAGGAATAATGACCGACATAAAAATACAATAATTACAAATGTAGATCAGTTTGATGTTTACAAAATTATCACTCTCATTTGTACAGTACTTATAACCTATACCCTGATACTATTATTCAAGTATAAATGATTGAGTTCAATACAAATGGGTCAAAAAAACATGAATTAAACAAGGAAATAATAATAATAATAATAATAGCAATGATCATGATAATAATAACTAATCTGAGTGAAATAACATCAGTTCATTTTGTCTGAGTAATTTGCACAAGTAGATTATAATATGAAAACAAAACAACTTCAAAATAAATAAAAATGTCTGATATGATTTCAGTAATTTATTAAAAATAAACGACTTTTTATTCATTCAACATAGTAACAACTGTGTGGTAGAGGCTACTCACAAGGATGTTTGTAAGTAGTGCATAGCGGAACGTGGTATCGAAGTTGCAACAATAGCCGAACAGGATGAAGAGGTTTAGGGCATCGAAATCATGGCGTTGGTAGAACACTTGGAGGCCAGTTGAGAAGAGAGTTCAGATCGCAGAACACACCTGTAAATGCAAATGTATGATTGCATTCTGTGTATATACATGACATAGATACTTTGTGACTTTTTGCAATAAGCTAATACATCCCTTCTGACTGTTGTCGTATTTATAACAGTACTACATTTAATTGACAGATAATTCCCATTTAAACATTAAAACACGAATTTCAGCGAAGGGATCTCTTTTCAACGAATTTATTATCAAGCTGTACAATCGTATATATATGAAACTTTTTTGTTTTTGTAAAAGTACTAATTCCGTGAGGAAATGTGAACATAGTTAATAAAAAAGGTTATAATACTAGATTACGTAATACGAATAATAACAACAGAATATAATAAGATGATTAAAATGTTTTTGATATAATAATTAAAGGTCATAGAGGTGTAAAAAATAAATATGGTGATATGATGAGTATTCACGAATAAAACAATGAGGATATAAGACATAAGTAAAGGGGGAGTGCAGTAATAATAATAATAATAACATTAATAGTAGGATAATTAAACTAATTAAGGCCAAGGTAACGATAACGATAAGACGTACTTCTTTTGTACGCATAGTTCTGGTTTAAGCTCCTGGATGGCAAGAGCTTCGGCTATTTTTAAAAGTTGGATACGAAGAAATCTGGGTAGATTTGAACGAATCATATAAACAACCTTAAAGTCAATTTGTGGATCGGTTGAATGGTTATAGTCGATTAGGTGTTCAAGTATAGAACTCCTAACTGCTTTCCTTTTACCCTTATAGAACCAGGCTGGGATATGTTCTCGTATCCGAGTTGAAAGCGAGCGCTGGCTACGGCCAATGTACCTTGCTCCACAAGAGCAGGTGAACTGGTAGATGCACATGGAGGCGACCAGACGCGGAAGCTTATCTTTTATGGATACTACATTTAATTGAGAAGGAGATTGGAATAAGAGTGTAAAAACATTCAAATCAGACTCAGAATTCCGGTGATTGAGGGAAGACGACAAGGTTTTCTAACTTATTCAGGTTTTACTGGTATCATTACCGAGGTATGACTTTATAATTTCGAGCATTGGTAGATTGTTATTGATAAATTAATATACTTGCAAAATCCCAATGAGTAGAAGAATTTAATTTTCTGACGTTTCGTGACTCAGTGTGAGTCGATTCTTCAGACAATAAATAACCAAATCAAAATCAACTAGAAAGGACTGTTGATGACAGAGTTTGATGAAGAATGTTGGTTTGCTCTCTATGCTCCTCTACGAGAGGTAACAGGCATGAGTAAGTAGGTATCATTAAATGAATGTACTATTTAAGAAAGTTTCCCCGACTTATCCGTATAATGGTAAGTAATAGAATTTGAAATAAAGTTTTATATGACAACTTGTTAATCAGAAAATCTACCACGTCACTTCATTGTAATGTGTATCAATGATATAAGTATTCTACTTATTAATAGATGGGAATCAAGTGTATTTAAATAAGGTTACCAATAATAGAATACATGGGATACATCAACACGTTCTAGATTCCACTGCTAGCCATATTCCATCTATTCTATGTAAACTTGTCTTGTAATCGCCATATCGAGTCAATCCCACAAGACGTACATGTGTCAACTAAGGTTAATCAAATTTCAGTCAAAATATCGATAACGAGATGATTAACACAATTACACATTAAATCAAAAGTTACTATTTTCCACAAAGAGATATTTATATATTAAACTTATATTCATTTTCAGTATGAATATTCGTGGAGATTGTAGTAATTTGTTTTGAAAAGCTAGACGACTATTGAAAATCTGGAAGTATTGGATGACTGATTCGTCCTAGTATGGGACTCCTCATCACTCAATGAATCCAACTTCATATTCATTTATACACATACATATTGTAGTTCACTTGAATCCTAAATACAAATATGAATATGTAATGCGTATTCAATATCCATACACAAACAATTCTGTTAATTCACCAAACATGGTTATAAGTAGATTTTGAAAGTTAGTTCTCCTTTTTACGTCAACTAAATATCATCATCATCATCATCATCATCATCATCATCATCATCATCATCATCATCATCATCATCATCATCATCATCATCATCATCATCATCATCATCATCATCATCATCATCATCATCATCATCATCATCATCATCATCATCATCATCATCATCATCATCATCATCATCATCATCATCATCATCATCATCATCATCATCATCATCATCATCATCATCATCATCATCATCATCATCATCATCATCATCATCATCATCATCATCATCATCATCATCATCATCATCATCATCATCATCATCATCATCATCATCATCATCATCATCATCATCATCATCATCATCATCATCATCATCATCATCATCATCATCATCATCATCATCATCATCATCATCATCATCATCATCATCATCATCATCATCATCATCATCATCATCATCATCATCATCATCATCATCATCATCATCATCATCATCATCATCATCATCATCATCATCATCATCATCATCACAATGTCACTTAAACTGCCTTTTAACAAATCAAAACTTTTGACTATAAATTCTAATGAATTAAACTATGTCGAAAAGTATTAAGATGTATATAATGGAGGATGTTATTCAACATAGGATGATAGTATTAAGAGGACTAGGAAACATTGAACTACTCTCCACTTCATTGAGTCATGAACCATCAAATCCATCAAAAAGTTTCTTAGATTAATTAGTTAGATTAATCAAATACAAAATGAACTTAGTTACTATTGTACTTTTGTAAAAAATTGAAAAGTGTAAGTCTACTTCATGTAGATAAAATCGATAAACAGTTTGATATTTATACATCTCTTATAAGATTTTCACATTTCATTGTGTACTTCATTCATTCAGTTGAAAAATAACCAGATAAATAATTATACATAAAATGTTTCACAAAATCAGAACATGAATCAAATGGTTAGCAATGACTAGAATTAGTACACAAAACATCAACATTTGTCAATAATTCTACCTAGCGAAATTAATCATATCACATGTTTCGTCTGGTTGTATCGAAAAGATACAAGATAATCAACAGGTTTTTGACGATGTTACAGCCATCTGCACTGATACTTTGTACATGAAATACTAAAATTCACACTACACAACGGAGGAGATGTAAACTGAAGATAGAAATACATTTTATTCACCCTGTAATTACACGACAATCATTGGTGAGAGTGAAATTCATGGACGAGCATTGAGTGACGCTGAAGTGACGTTGAGAACGTCTGAATACTAACTAGGACTGAATGAGGGCTATAAACTAGTGACAGGAATTGGAACTAGGATTTACAGTTAATGGTTAGGGCTCGGAATGATATTTAGAGTCTTCATCACGAACTTATATAAGCAAAAATGCCGAAACTCTATCTCGTCATATGGATGAATAAATTTCGCGCTCAAATCCAACACTTCGTATCCTAAATTTGATTGGTTCGTCTATAAATTATAGTCGCGCCTACATTACTGAAATAGTGGGAATATAAAAATCAATTTTTCACTTCAATTAATATAACAACAAGTTTACATGTTATACTGAACGGATATTCTATCCAATTAGTACAAATACAAATACAATGTTATACTGAATAAACATCACAATGAAATAAGATATGACCTCACATTTATCTGGTTCTAGCAAACAATAACTCTTTCATTGCTTATTATTATTCAATTGAAATATCTGCCACAATAATTGTATATTAAATAACTCGAATCAAAGCATACATAATATATATTATACTACTATGTACTACTGAATAAAATATAATTTATACATTTTCAGTAGTCAGTTGTTGTTTTTTTGTCCATTGATTTGTGATATAATTTTTATAAATTAATCCTTATTGTATATTTATAAAAACAAACATTATCACATTTAACAATCAATGTAACTATATATCACTGACTAATTCAGGTGAATGTAACAGGTTTAGTTTCATGTTAGTACCATTTATGTTGTTTGGCAAAGATTACTCATTGATACATAAAATTCACTTGTGAACTTTGAAAATATACTCTAGTGAAAATTAAAAATTATTTACCATATACAATAAATTTTGGATAGTTAAATAATGAAGAAATATAGAATAGATTTCATTGTATAGTGGTAATGTTAGTAGTGGTAGTAATAGTAGTATGAGTAGTAGTTTTTGGTTTTTATTTGAGCATAAGTAGGTATTTTCTCGTGTAGAGTAATTTGTTATATAGAAAATCTTCAATACAGCACTTGGAAGATAATAACAACTTAGCTACCCAATGGGTTACTTGGGTTACGACAGACCTCAAGACTGATTACTGTATGGTGACCAGTGTCATGTTTCTGAAGTTCCTTTAGTAATGAAAGAATTCTGTAGATCAAGTTGCTTTGTCATTTATATGTAGTATTACCGAGACGAAACTTATGATGAATGGGACGTAGTGCGACTGATTTTGAGGTGTATCTGAACTAAATATAAGTACCATTTTGATTATGACAATTCATCCTAACGTGAAAGATAAGTGTGTCTAGGCGTTTCTGGAATGCACCTTGTAAGGACTACTGACCATTATAAAGATATAATAACTACAGATAATCGCTTATAAACACTGTACACATCAAGGAGACTTGCTACCCCACTATTTTACGTACATTCAATAGCCTTTGTAATCTAACCAATACAAATCAAACAAAAATATCTATTTTATGTGAACCATTGAGACATGCTTATTGAGTAAACTAGTTTTAAATTCACATTTGAGTGCATAAAACTATAATTATTTAATTTGCTTACTGTCATTTATCTACTTAGTGAAGTATTTTGGTGATTCTATACATAGTGGAGATATTTATCAAGTTTAAAGTAACTAAGACAACACTATAAATTTTCCTTCCTTCTGAATGATGGGTTCGTCAATGGCCTATCAGTTAAATACGTTTTCGAATACAAAGAATGTTTGAGAGAATAATTCTTTTGAATAACTTCATCATTGGGCTCTTTTTATTTGAACACAAGTAGGTATTTTCTCGGGTAAAGTAAATGGTAACAGCGCTCGGAAGAGTATGGTAACTTGATATTCATTAGTGTGAAATAAATCATTCGAATTCCTGGGGAAGGAATTTTATGGTCAGTAACAAATAATCTTATAGTATGATGGGTTTGACTTGAAAAACAAAACTTCAGTAACGTTATATAGAAACTAGGAGCATGAAATAGTAAATAACAAGCCAGAAATTTACAAATAACATGCTCACTATAAAGTCGGAAGGTACTTTGTTTGATTTTTGAATTGTGTTGGTATTCAGTGTTAAGTTTCATACTACAACAAAATGGCTGTACAATGTTCATTTAATTTTAGTGATCGCGTTTTTATCGTCATTTGCATAGGCCAGTTTAACAAAATTATAGGGATTTATTTACAGTCGATTGTTCATTAAATTTCCTACAGTTTAATTGATATAATTTAGACCATTAATTAACATATAGATCTCAATTAAATATTATTCTATATTTATTATGCATATTACATAACTAATAATTGATATTTCGGACAGATTAACCAGTTAATACTTTATTCAATGGATACATTAACAGCTCTCAATCGTTAAAGATTCTGAAGCATATTCACTTCAAGAATACACAGAAGAAGGAACTCTTAGCAGAATTTCATTCAAAATCTTGGAAGCTGATCTTTCGTCATATGATTTTTAGTTATTCGTTCCTTAATAAGCCTGTTGAGAAATGAAGAATCCGTCTTTCACTTTATATGTTCCATTATATTTATTTTTCTCTAGTGTAATTTATTTGAAACAAACTCTTATTCTGTAAGCAATGATAAATGATGGCTAGCATTGGAATCAGGACGCGCGTTTCGTCCTGTTTGGGACTCGTCAGCTGGATGTACCTGCATCTCAGAGTTGGTGTTCACTCTAGGACTCGAACTCAGTACCGTTCGCTTCAAACGCCATCACTTTATCCACCCAGCTACTGAGTCCTGATAGCCACTTGCTTGTGCAATATCGAGGCATAAGCACAGTATGCACATATGCCAATAACAGACTGATCAATTGCAGTCTTAAACCTCAATGGGAAGATACAAGCCAAACAATATCAAGTGAAATTAAACTCTTATTCTCCTTCTGAATTTTATCATATGAACTTTTACGTAATGACAAAGCTAGGCACAAAAATGATCGGAATCCTTTAACTAATCTGAATGATATTGATGTAACTGAAATTAATTTGAATAAGTGTTTATGTGAAGTGGTATACAAAGGTAAAAATACAGTTCTCGAATTTCCCATCAAAATAATTAATCATAATATTTAGAATTCAACTTATCGTTGGTCTATTAACTTAATTATCTATTTTAACTGAATGAATAAAGTACACAATAAAAAGGTGAAAATATTTTGAGAGAAATATGCATAATAGAATCACTATCTATTTGATTTAGATAAAACAAGTTTAGTTTATTGAATAACAACAAAAGTACAATTTAAAAATCATTATGGAAATATTCGAAAATAAAGAATATTTAGGCGAACAATAGTTTTCGATAATTCCATCATCAGTTTCCACAGTTATATGTACGTAAATATTGTATTACATTCATGATGGTCAAAATAAGGCAAATCTTAATGAATTTATTTATGTTATATGTTGAAAATAGGGTACTGTTGCATCCTTCACGACAATAAATACTTCAAGATGCAGTCATTTGTAAGTTAGAAAGATCATCAAATGAACGTCAGAGTGATGTGTAGTAGTGTCAAATTATAATCACAATAACAGTAGTAAAATAAATTGTATGTAGGAGAATTTTCACCAGTTAAGGGAAGTATTAATAATGAAAATGATAATTATAATTATAGTAATAATAACATTGTGAATGTAACATATGTTATCTTTATTATGTACAACAACTGGGCGAAATTCTTGTTTACGTACTTACACCTTTTCCCTCTCGTGGAGGAGCATACGACATACACCAACATTCTCGATCAAACTCTGATCTCAACAATCACTTCCAGTTCCCATTCATTATTTTGATATCTACCTCAAATTCACCATTCAATATGTTCCCTGACCTACCACTTTCCCCATTACCTTCAAGATTCCAAGTTAGCACTTGTCTCATGATCCAATCTGATGGTTTCCACAATATATGTCTCACCAACCTCAAACATCTTTCCCTAATTTCCACTTCAGATGGAAGCTAGTTTGTTCCCTAACACAGTGGACTATTTCTGATGGTATCCGGTCAACTGACATTCAGTATATTGCATAGACAATTGTTTATAAATACCTTTACTATTCTGATGATGGTTGTGGTAGTTCTCCAAGTTTCAACTCAGTATAGTAGAACTGACTTGACGTTTGTATAGAAGATTCTCATTTTGATGTTGACTGTCAGTTGTTCCATATGTTCTATATGTTTCTCAACTGTAGGAATGTTGTCCTTACTTTGCCAATCCGTGTACTTACATCTT